TGTGCCAGGCCGCCAAGTCATGCTTGGGCCAAACCACCAAGTCGCGCCTGGGCTAAGCCGCCAAGTGGGATACCATCAACTTGGCTAAGGCAAGTTGTTGCCTAAGTGGTTCCGGGTGTCACCTAGTTGTTCTGAGGTGCCATGTGTCACAGTATCATTGGAGGGACAAATCTGCCCTCATCATTTGCCCCCTACTCCTGAGCCAAAAGTTACTCGGCGAAGGGAGTAAATTTCTCCTTTTGGCTCGGGATGAATAATTTGATGAGCTCGTAAGCGTCGATTCAATTCATAAGGCTCTGGGAGCGACTCGCAGTTCGCTCCTTGATTTTGCCCATGCCGAAGAGGTGACTGGGTCTTATGTGGTGAGGAGGTCTTCGCTAGTTCGGTATTTTGGCCGTTAGGCTCTGGGAACGACTCGTAGTCTACTCTCCTTGATCTTGCCCATGCCGAAGAGGCGACTGGTTCTTATGTGGTGCCGAAGTCTTTGCCAGTTCAACACTTTAGCCCTGAGGGTCTGGGAGCGGCTCATATTCCACTCTCCTTGATCTTTTGATTTTGCCCATGCCGAAGAGGTACTGGGTCTTATGTGGTGCTAAAGTCTTTGCCAATTCGGCAGTTCGCGCCTGGGCCAGGCTGCCAGGTCACGCCTTAGAGCTACGGCTGCACTGCATCAGCCTCGTTAGTGACGTCGGTTACCCACTCCTACAAGAAGCTACTAGGAGCTCGTCCTACGGGGGCAACACTACTGACTTTAGGTCACCAGCTCACACGGGAGCCTTGGAAGGCTCAACCAGCAGGGGCGTCCATGTAGTTTGTTGGCCGCCTACTCCCGTGGAATCCACGAAGAGCTCATCTTTGTAAAGGGTACTTCGCGAAGAGGATTGATGAGGCTTTATCCGAGTTGAAATAAAGTTGGTAGAGCTACTTAGTCTGTTGGCCATCAACTTCCTGCATAGTCTTTGAGTTCATAAAAATGGAAACTAGAAAGTGAGAACTTTTAGTTTCTAAAAGGTGAGAACTTAGCTTTTTGAAAGAGGAGGACTTAGCCTTTCGGAGGATGAGCACTTAGCTTTTTGTAGCGTTTCCCACAGATGGCGCCAATTGATGAATCAATTTTTTGGTGATGGCTAATTTTTTGGGCTAAGTACCTCGTCATTTGGTCTGCTTCCAAGTGGCCGATGACTCAGGCCGAAGTGGAGAACTTTGGTTGCCGAGCTGAGTCGAGCTGGGCAAGCTAGGTGGTGACCTGACTATGGTGTCGAGCTGCTTGTGAGGTGCCGGGTTGACCAGGTGCCAAGTTGCCTGTGAGGTGCCGGGCTGACTAGGTGTCGAGCTACCTGTGAGGTGCCGAGCTGCCTAGGTGTCGAGCTGCCTATGAGGTGCCGAGCTAACCAGGTGGTGAGCTGCCTATGAGGTGCCAGGCTAACTAGGTGTCGAGCTGCCTGTGAGGTGCCGGGCTGACCAGGTGTCGAGCCGCCTGTGAGGTGCCGAGCTGACCAGGTGTCGAGCTGCCTGTGAGGTGCCAAGCTAACCAGGTGGCGAGCTGGATTGATGAGCTTCGTTGCTCTTTAGAGACCTGCAAGGAACCAAATGCCAGAGGACCCTGGGTGGCTAACCCGGTAAGGTCGCTCCGATGCTTAAGTCAGTATTCTCATAGTAGATTGTGAGCTAAAAATCACACAAGTATGAGAGCTAGAATTTGCTTACTTGCTTGCTTGCTCACTTGCCATTAGGGTTGGTGCCTTTATATAGGCATTGATTGGCGTGGGCTTCACGCACCATATCCGAGATTTTTGCGAGGTCGTCTAAGTGGTTTGAGATTTCCAGAGGTAACCGCCATGCACGTTTACCACCCTCCGGATCGTTCGGCACGTGGGCCAACTTCCAAGGATCGTGGGAGTGTTAGGATATGCATTTCGAATTTGTTGGCGAGCATGTCTCACAAGTCGCCAGATCGCCAGGTTGGCACTTGTGCCAGGCTGCTAGGTCGCGCCTGGGCAGGCCACCAGGTCGGTGCCTGTGCCAAGCCGCTAGGTCGGTGCCTGTGTCAGGCCGCTAGGTCACGCTTGTGCTAGGCTACCAGCTCGCGCTAGGGCTAGGTTGCGCCAAGGGCAGGCCGCCAGATCGCGCCAGTGCCTGGCTGCCAGCTCGCGCCTGTGCCAGGCTACCAGCTTGCGGCAGTGCCAGGCTGCCTGCTTGCGCCTGTGCCAGGCTGCCAGCTCGCGCTAGGGCCAGGTCGTGCCAGGGCCAGGCCGCCAGGTGGGACACCATCAACTTGGCTAAGGCAAGTTGTTGCCTAAGTGGTTCCGGGTGTCACCTAGTTGTTTTGAGGTGCCATGTGTCACAATATCATTGGAGGGACAAATCCGCCCTCATCAATTGCAAATAACAAACATTTGAAGAAAAGAAAATCATTTCTCTCTAGATTTTAAGCAAAAGCAATGAACAGTGGTGCAGAGCAGTTTCTCACTTTAGAAAAAGAAGGTTGGGTTGGGTATGTCTTTAACACACTCAAATTTCGCATAAAGACACAAGCAGATGCCCCAAGGTACAATTCCATTCCAGCCATCCAATGCCTCACAGTCACACCCATTTTGAAACATCATCAGGAATCATCGAGAGGGAGAGGGAGAGGGAGAAATTTGAGATATCTATAGTTTTGGTAGTTCCGGCAGTTCTAGAGAAGAGAATGGGAGGGAGAGATTTGAGAGATCTATAATTTCAGTGGTTTCAAAGAAGAGAATGAAAGGGAGAGGAAGAGAGCTGGGAGATCTACAAATTTGGTAGTTCCTGTGGTTCCAAGAAGAGAACGATAGGGAGATGGAGAGATTTGAAAAATCTACATTTCTGGTGGTTCTAACGGTTCCAGAGAAGAAAACGAAAGGGAGAGGGAGAGATCTGTAGTTTTGGCTGTTCCAAAGAAGAGAACGGACAAGAAAGGGAGAGATACACTTTTTGAAAATTTAAAGAAAAGTGGAGGGTAAAATAGTCTTTTTAATATTTTTATTGATACACGTTAATGCTAAAAAAGGATTAGTCAATTGTGAGAAACAGTAGGGGTAGCGACAGCCAATTTTCAAAAAATAAGGGTACACTGAGTCAATTAGCTAAACCATAAGGGTAGTTTAAGAAATTTACCCTTTTTATTATTCGACACTATAACCTATACCAACATAGTTTTCAGTGGTGCAAAACCATAGCGGCATATAATATGATCTATAGTGGCAAAAATAAATGCCACTATAGACCATTTTTGTTATAGTGTCAATATTTGTAACATTTCCCCCTTAAATCCCTCATTTTCCCTTAAATATATTTGAATAACTTTTGACCCTATTTAATAAAACATAGGTATAAATTAGATGAATTGGATGGGGTTAAGGGCCAACCCAAAATAAACCCTATACATGGACTTTTGCCTGAGCTAAAATTGATGTCAAAACCTAAGTTTGTCAACCCAAAACCAAAATTTGTCCCTTAAATTGGAAGCCTGCCATGTGGAGGGATGATGTGGCTAATTCCAATTAGGCAAATCCAATTCACAGGGGAATCATTCAGATTAGCCAATGTTCCAATTAGCCAACTTGGCCGTATATCCCACCTAGAGCCTATATTGGAGTTTTCTGCAATTGAGGTTCCAACATGATAATAATGCCCACGAAGAAGGTTTATTGTGCATGTGTGGCAATTGAAAAGCGCTTAGGTGTGGAGAAATATAATCCACAAATATACCTTTGGATTTTTATTAATTTACTTAAGCGTACCTTGAATTTTTCAAATAGACTTAAATATAACCTTGTCAGCTAACCCCACTAGACTTAAACATATCCTATATCTGTGAAGCCTCACATGTGGACTTATTTAGAATTTCTAAAATCCTAACTTGCCCTTCTATACCTTTTGACATGTGCGACTTAAGGTTATGCTTGGGAGTGCTTAAAAATAAGTGCTTATTTGGGCCATTAAGCACTTATTGGTATTTGAGAAATAAGCCTGAAATAAGTGCTTATTTTAAAAATAATGGCTTATTTTTAAACCCAAATTTCCAACTTTTTTAAGAGCTTATATAATAAGCACTTATTCAATTTTTTTCTTCCAAAATTATCCCAAGTTGAATTTTAAAATACCACTTATAATATTATCCCTAATTGAATTTTATAAAAGCACTTTTATAAAAGTACTTTTATGAAAATACTTTTATAATAACAATTTTATAAAATTACTTTTACAAAAGCATTTTTAATAAAGTACTTTTATGAAAGCCTTTTATAAAAGCACTTTTACAAAAGCACTTTTACAAAATTATAGTAATATACCAATATAAGTTTTTGTTACTATTTCGTTTATTATTAAACAACTTAAAAAAGAAAGAATCTGTTTCATTAATCTGTAGCAATACAGTACGCTTGATTCCATTAATTCTTTAATTCTTTGATTATCGAATCAAATGTTTTTTCTGCATAGTATTAACAATTTCCTTTTCAATTAATTTGAATGCTTCAAATCAAAGTAGAGAATAAAGCAGGGAGTGGAAAAGCGAAGGAAGTCATGTATGGTAGGGGTAGACCGATTTCTATCTAGGTTTAATTACCATTTATTCATGTACATTTTTTTTTTTTAAATTTTGAAAGAAAATAAAAGATAAAAGAGTCACAAATATATATTTAAGTCCATTTGAAAAATTCAGGATAAATTTAAGTCAATTTATGCAAACTCAAGGTATGCTTAACTCTGCTTTTACCATAATTACTGCTGGTTAAATATTTGGCATTACCCCGGCTTCCAAAAGTCTATTGTTTCTTTTAGTTGCACAGTTATAGCATGACCACAAATAATACATTATGCTAGGGTTTACCAAACACGGATTCCCTGTCCAAAACAAACACACAATATAGTGTTTTGTGCCAAGGACTAAGGAGCAGGAAATGGACAAAAGAGCCAAGTAAAGAAAGGACGTTGGTGAGGCCATAAAAATATCATTTTACCATGAATATTGATGATCCTAAGAATAGAATGCTGCCAGTTTGACTATCATTGAAACTTGAAAGGAAAACTATGCCAGCTTTACCACTGTATACAACTAAAAAGCCTGCAATAACACTTACACTCTTGTAGCTCCCTATTCTAACTGGAGAGGAAAAATACATTGCTTCATATCTTTACATGGGATGGCCGATGGTGGATAAATACTCTCATATTGCTAGGCCATAAAATGCGACATCAGTTCTCGGATTAGAAGATCAAACCTAAAAAAAGTCCTTGGATAAGAAGAGCATCTAGAGATGCATGGATAATAATCCTGATTCCTGAGTTGCTCCATGTAGTAAAAGGGGCAAAATAGTAACCCAAAGCTTAAAGTTGAAAGTAGGCATGAAAAGTTTACATATCAGTATGGTCAAAATGATTTAAACTGTAAAAAAGCAGTAGGACGGAGCTCTTGCGATTTGGAAACCCAGTGTACAACATGATTCCAATCAATCTTTTTGTTGTCGATTCAGTAGTGTAGAAAATACATGCTCAGTTTCCTGTCTGCATCAAATTCTTGGAGCGTACAAGGCGAAGGCACGAATTAAAGGCACCACCTTGCCAAACAAGATAGATAACAAATGCCACATATGCTGCTATAACTGCAGACACCAAAGAGCCAAAAAATAGTCCGTTCACTTCAGAAGAGAAAAAGTCCAGCAAAAGATACCCATTGATCAGTATCACCAAGAGAGCCACTATCCACGCCACAACCTATAACATGATTACACAAGATCTATTAAAAAGGATCCAAATTATCATGTTATATTACTTTTAGCAGTCTTTTCAATTGTGTGTGTGTGTGTGTGAGAGAGAGAGAGAGAGAGAGCATGAAATCATATGAATACAGGTAATAATTTTATATGGGATTCAATATCTTCAATGCCCTCTCCATCCTGGCCAAGGAGAAAGAACAAGAAGGCCTCTCCTGAAAGCGTCAATATTTCTCATAGAAACTGTTGAGATCAATGGTTGGATATGCCAATTGCAAGTTCCATCATCATTTGAAAATTACATATTGGTTATACTTGTTCAATATGGTTCACAGCCTAGTTCCGCTTAGATTGCTCTCCTCAAAACTTATTATTTTCAAATTTTTAAGTTTTAATAATAATTGGTTTATAACTGCTATTCTTCATTCGCTTTTCTTTCTACAATGCTTAACTTTGCATTTTAATACTGGCAAAATCCAATCTTGTTTTATCTCAATAAAGAGAGGGTTATGTGGTAACAATCTACAACTCAATATTCCTCACATACATCGAAAGTGTAGTTGAATGGAGTAAGACATGCAAACTATTGCAAAGGCCACAATCACAATAAAGAAAAGATATGGCAGCCAAGACATGTACTAGTTTGCATGTATACTGACCATAACCAAGATACATTCTTTGAGTGGTTTATTACCAGGGAAGGACATCATTGTTAAAAATGTTAAAACCATTTTGGATCCTTTGGGGAACCACACCCTTCTAAATTCTTCATACAGGTCCAAGATGATTTGTAAGCAATGAAAATGCAGTGGTACCAATTCAAGGAATTTTCACTTAGATATATAACATTATGTGGCTTATGTAGTGGTTCCCCTGCAGAAACATAGTAAAAAAAAGTAGCAGGCATTTTCTTTTGCAAGTTCAGGAAAATTTCTCCCACAGTTTCAGTCTCCTTGAAGGTGGGAAGTGATTCCTATGATATTACACTGTGGAACTATAGAAAGCAAGAAAAGGAGAAAGAGCCCTTGACAGGACTCCAATCACATTTAAATGACTCACTGAAGATCAATGACTGAAAATTACCTAAGCAAGAAGCACAACTAAAGAACCAGGGGTTCCTAACTTACGATAGCCCAAGGAGCAGGCCTTGATGAATTGAGACATCACTTTTGAAAAAGAAACAAATAAAAAAAAAGAAACTTAATATATAAGAAGATGGTTAGAGCATCATGTGATTAACAAAAAGGTTGCAGATTTGCAGGATGAAGTCCTATACAAGTTAAACTGTCAAAACACTAAATATCATTACTACAACCTATAATATAGTAAATTTCTAAGTCAATCATCAAATTCGAGGTTAATTTATCAAAGCATATGAACAAGCCAAGTGAAGATGAGCCTGGGTTTAGACATTTAGGTAAAACACAGCCCACAAAATGAGCCATCCTCTGAGCCTAGGCTCACCTTTTAAAATACTGAATCAAATCCTCCCAATGAATAAAGGAAAAGATAGTTCTAGACTCATTAATCTAGTTGGTAGTAATTGTATTGTTGTATCAATTAGATTTAAAATTTTTATGAAACATTCTAGGAACAAAGCTAAAAAAGAAAAATAGCTCAAAAAAGTCATTTATTTTACTGATAAAAGAAAAACTTGCATCTTTCTGTCTCATTAGTTCAGAGTTCACAAATTTATTATGATATATAAGAAGGTCGCTCCATGCGCAGCCTCTAGAACATAACATAGCAATCCACCTATCATGCATGTACTGAATGTAGCCAAACCTATTTCACTATCAAATTTTACACCCAAATTATTTCTATTGAGCTATGTTTTACCATTCTCAAACATGAAAATTAGTAAATAACAAATGCCACATATGCAGCACAAATTGCAGGACTGAAGCATGAACTGACAGTTCAGAAAAGAATTTCAGTAAAAGGCATGCATTAATCATGATTGTAAGTGTTGCTGCAGTATGCATATAGCACAGATGCAGGGAAAGGCATGAGAGTGCCTTAACTGAATGAGGCAAATCACATGTATTTGCAAGGTAACATCACAAAGGCAGGGAGAAGTACATTATAGCACACCAATGCTAATTATGTCAAGTGGACGAGCCCCAAGTAATTTACTTGCAGTTGAGGGAAACAAGGCATGGGAACTGAAATATATTAGAGTAAATGTTAAGTTAAAAAGATGTCAAGTATATGTTGTTTTTGTCCTTAGGAGGCCTTCAATCCAGAGAATCCGAATAGAAACAAACTCACAATTGTATTAGGACCATGTTAATTTGTAGCTTTTCTCATTTTAACAAACAAGTCATATAGGCTATCTGAGGAATAAATAAAAGATGGGGCTAATATTTTGGGAAGAGGGGATGATGATCTCAATAATAGTACTTCATGTTTCTTTTTTCTACTTTTTCTTCTTTATAAAGAAAAGGAAAAAGGTATGCAAATATTTGTATACAAGAAGCGATCGTATTTAAGTAAGATCCCTACAGAATGCTATATGTTACATAAGGATTGCAATATATATACATCTCCCTCTATTTATATGCATGCATGCATGTGTTACCACTTACCAGATATCACCCAAACTTAGTAGGGGGTGTTTGACAATATAGTTAGTTTTGTTTTCAAAAACAAAACAACTACCACATCAGCAAAATTATATTGTTTTTTTTTTATGTGGCAGTTGTTTTTGTTTTGAATAATAAAACCAACCATGTTGAACACCCCCTTCGTAGTTCACCTGGTGTACTATAAACTCAAAATTAAAAGCCAGGTAATTCTAACATGGCACTACACAATAATGGAAATAACACTAACCTTGAGGGCAGGACCAATCGTAAAAACGCCCATGACCTGCTCCTTTGAGACCAATATAAGAAGAGGAATGATTGCAAAAGGGATCTGAATTGACTGAAGCACATTAAGCCATTCATTTAGGACATCCAACATTCCTTCAGAGGTGTCAAAAACAAGTGCAACAATAATTGTTGGGACAATTGCAAAACTTCTTGTGATTAGTGCTCTAAGCCATTTTTTCAATCGGAGATTGAGAAAGCCTCCCATAATAAATTGGCCTGCATATGTGCCAGTTATAGTGCTACTCTGCCCTGCTGCTAGTAATCCAATACCCCATATATAAAGGATTGGGAACAGTCCACCCCCATACTTCTCTTGAAGATACTGACCCGCATTTACTAGGCCTATACTAGTAGCTTGTTCTGTGCCATAAAATCCTTTTGCGAAAACAGTTGTGACAAACAAGTTGATCACGAAGGAGACAAGCAGGGCAGCAGATGACTCGATGGAGTAGTAGTTGAGGGCCTCTTGAACCCGACCTCGCTTATGAGTCTCAATATTCCTTGACTGCACAAGAGCAGAATGCAAGAACACGTTGTGAGGCATAATGATACAACCAACCACTCCCACGGCTTGGCGTATGGTCTTTGAGCTTAGTTTTGGAACCAGAACACCTAAAACGAAAATTGAATTCTCTGAGTTCTTATAGTTGTTGGAGAGCATGATAACAGTAAAGACAAACAACAAGCAATAAAATAACACAAAACAAGTTTAAACAAAGAGTAGCACTTTACCTAGTAGAAGTTCCTTGCCGCTGGGCTTGGTTTCACCAAACATCCACGCAAATGAAAGCGCCATTGTAGCAATGAGAACTGCGAACACAGCTTCCAATTTCCTCACCCCATAGTTCTCGAGAAATAGGAAAACGAAACTGTTGACAACAATAAAAAGAAACAGGATGCTATTTCACGCACTCAGGCATAATTAATTTTGAAGTTACTCATTGACTGGCCGATCAGGACTCTAAAACAAGCAGAAATTGGGGTTTCAGTAATGAACTGAATTTTGAAAAGACAGTTCGATCCCAATCTATTACAACAAAGTACTCGGAGAGAGATAATCTTCCAAGGGAGAAAAAGAGTTCAAATCTTTCACAACGAAAAAAAAAAAAACCCAAATTCAGTAAAATCCATTCAAAAAAAAAAAACAAGAAATAGGAGAATTGGTACAAATAAGAAAAAAGAAAGTTCAATGAAACGAAAAACATAGAATGAAAAGAAAGGAAAAGATAAAAACTTTACCAATCAAAGGCGGTGATAAGAACACCAGCCCAAAGCGGCAGAACTCCATGGCTAAGAATTTTGATAGCAATGGCGCTACCAATAACCTCTTGAATATCAGCCCCAATCAGAGCCAACTCCGCCATAAACCACAACAAATACCTAGCCCAAGTCGGGTACTGGTCCCTACAGAGCTCGGCCAAGTGCCGACCCGTTGCAACACCGAGCCTAGCCGATAACAACTGAATCAGAAGCCCCATGACGGTAGCCCACATCAAGAGCCACAGGAGCGAGTACCCAGCAATGGCGCCAGCCTGAAGATCCCCCTCGAGGTTCCCGGGATCGAGGAAAGCAATACTTATCAAGAACCCAGGACCGGTAAACAGCCATAGTTTCTTCCATGAGAAGGGCGGAGTCGCAAAACAGTTATCTGATTCGGTGCTCTCACTCTCGCCGGTGCCGACGATGATGACCTTTTCTTTGGACTCGTAAGCTTTCTCTTCGTCTTCGCTATCTCCTTCTGATTCGGGGGATCGAGTAGATAACAAACTGTCAGCCTCCTCTTGTTCTTGCAACTGGGGGCGCTTTTGGTGTTGTTGATGTTGGGGAGGCATGTTCGACTACCTCGGAGTCCCTTTTCCCACTCCTCGTCCTCCCCCCCGCCCCGTCTGTCTGGTGGTGGTTGGTCTTGGAACGACAGTTGAAAGAAGATGAGATCAGCTCAAGGAGGTGGTGTGGGTGGTGCGACTCTGAGAGTTGTGAAGCTGCATATATCGTACGCCCAAGAGGCTTACGTTAGAGCAGACCAGACACTGGTGGGACCGGTATGAGAAACTGGGGGGGGAAGCTCCATATTACTGGTTGTTTCTGCTGGAACTAAAACGAGATGGACGACTAAGATCGATTGTTGGACAGTGAAGAACGAGGCCTAGATTTGTTCATAGTCCCATGGTAATGGATACACGAAATAAAGGTGAGCACTGAGCCGGACGGGGAGGAAAACGGAGAGTGGCTGACCGGGGTTACGGCTCACGGGGTACAGGCCTACGGCACAACCAATGAACCAAATTCTTCAGTACATGGCGGTCAGACACTCACAATTCACAAGTGCGGGTTTTACACGTGTGATGAAGCATTTGTCGCACACACACATCAAATTGCGTGCAGGTACAAGAAGTAAAGAAAAAGTGCTAACAGATCCGATCCAATTCATTTGCTAGTGGGGGACTTGGGAGGGAGTGGGTCACGGTGAGGCTCGTGGAGGATGCATGGCTGCACGAGGCTGCCTCGCTTTTCTAATTCTCCACATATGCCTTGTCAGAATTTTTTTTTTTTTTATTAACTTACCTTCCGTCGTGCTGTTTGTTACTTTGTTAAGTTAGGCCATTAATTATTTTTAATGATCAATTAATCTTAAGTTTCTGTTAAATTATTATTTAAAAAATAAATTATAAAAAGGAAAATAAAAAAAAGCTATGTTATCTCCCCCAATCCAGATGTCCCAAGCCCAGTAAGATGTACGGGTAGTAAATAAATTTAATCACCGCACAATTTCATGGTTTACAAAAACCATTCTCTAACAGGGATCTTTGAGGTTTCAAGGGTATTGATAAGTTTAACACTGCATTTTGCATTCTTTATTTTAAGGGTTTATCTCCTTTTTACATTTAAAATGTTCTTACTAACAGAGTTTTTAATTGTAAAAAAGGAGATAAGTCCTTAAAATAAGAAATGCCAAATGTGACCTAGCACCCACTAAGAAGTGCTTATTGGATTTTAGAATAACCAAGGTTTTTAAAATTGAATTGGATAATAAATCGGTAAGGGGCTTGGTTTCTGAGTCGAATGGTTTGACCGTTTGAACTGAATGGATAACCCATTCTGACAAAAAAAAAACCAGCCAAACCGTTGGATGGTTAAAACCGTTTGACCGCTCGGGTCGATAATTTGCTAACCAAATCAACGGTTTTTGGTGAAATAACGGTTATGGGATAAAACGGAATCGGTCATTCCCAATTTTTCTGGTTCGACCATCTGATCTGGTACAATTTTGAAAACCATAAAAGTAATAATGGGTAAAAGATTTAAACATACCATGGGCTTTTAGAAATTGACTTAAACATACCCTGAAGTTTTAAATTGGGTTTAAATATACCTTAAAATTCTTTTACCCTTCATTTTGTTTCAAATTTTCAGAAACAACCAAAAAGAAGACACTTTAACTGACTATTTAATATGTTAAAGGTGGGCCTAAAAACATTTTGGGGCTTCTCTTGATGGATGCTCCAAAGGAGAAGTAAACCTCAGAATTAGGAACTAACCTTAAGGCTGGGATTAAGAAACAATTGGAGCATAATACTAAAAGACCTGGAGTGGTGTCTTGGCTTTGCATTCAAATGTGGATGTGAAGGACAAGACAAGTGGAGGAACATGTTTTCATGGCAAATGGGTGGAGATCCAAGGAGAAGGCTAGATTAGCATTCAAAAGGAGCCAACAATCCCAAAACACCATCATAACCCAATAACACTCAATACAATGGTTCAAAGTGATAAAGAAATTGTTGATGCCAAGGCTCTTGCAATCTTTAGTGCTATTCCAAATCGCAAGCCTAAAAAAATCCATCATAAATGTTGGACAGTCTTATATTAGAAGCTATAACCAATTTGAAGGAGCCTTCCGGTTCTAACAAGACTTCTATTGAATAAATGGTAAATAAGGAATAAATGGTTATATGTATTCAACCAGTTTTATTGAATGCCCCATGTATGATTGATTTATGTAGGCACACCATTGTAAGCACAATACTCAATGAGCATTCAATAAATTTTCTGATGATTATATCAAAAATTTCTTTTGATCTTTTCAATGATAGACGAAGGATATTTTTAAGGTATAAGTGATTACCTAAAGTATCCCTTAAACCATTTAAGAATTACTTAAACTACCTTTGAACCTTTTTTAACTTCAAAAAGTACCCATAAAGTTTGAAAACCTACTTATGCTATGTTTGTTTCCATGGGAGTTTAATAAAAAAACACTATCACATCAGCACTATATAGGCATTAGTGTTTATTGTGCATAAAACCATTGTTTGGTTTCAACGTTTATCAAATAAACATTAAAAAACATAAATGTATAGATTTATGTGCATGAAGCATTTGGGGAAACATCAAATTCTCATTTCCTCCAACGCCTCAGCATTTGTTGAAATGAAATGCTTATGTGGGATACTTTATGAGGTGTTAATTTGAGATAAAAAGTAAAATCTATTTAAAGTAATGCCCAACCGAACAACAAAAACAAGAAAAGATTAAATTAGAGTTTTTAAATAAACAATTTAAAACATTAAACAACCTATCTATAAAGGTCTATGTAACTAAATACATATTTAAGGCTCAATTTGATAAAAGTACAAATACAAATATACAGTGCAAATACATACAAAATAATATAAAAAATAAGATAAGGTTTTGCACTCTACATATTTATATTTGTACTCCTAAACTGTGCCTAAAATATTCTTGAACTTTCAAAAACGTGATGCATACTACCTTCTATTAGTCGGTAGTCACATTCCAATTACATGTGATGGCATGCGAGTCATCCAAAACCCAGTGTTGCCCCTTTCTCTCATCAGAACTTGAGTTATCCTTAATAAAACTTGGACACAAGGGGAAGACAGTTAAGACCGTTGGAAGCAGTTCAAATCTCCTGCCCGCACATTGAGAAACTATTCGATATATATTCCTAATGTAGAACTGTAGTGTCTTGTGGATAAATGTGGATAGGAGATTAAAGAAATAATCATCTTATGGCAATTGATGATAGTTTTAAATCTAAAGAGATTTAATAAAGATCTTTATACAACGTGGAACAGTCTTAAACAAAGGCAAACAAAAAAATCTGGGTTGGTGAGATTTAATAATCTTTATCTTCTATAGAGTATTCATTGATTGGTTCTCCTCCGTTGTTCCTTTTTAAGGGTATTTCTTTTATTCCCACTGAAAATTTCTAGAATATGGGTCTAATTGCTCAATGGGCTTTGGATTTACTTTTGCATCATTTATCGGTTGAGTGTTGGAGTCATGTTTTTTCCTTTTGAGACACGTGGGTTTATATTCGAATGGGTAATGACTGATGACTACAATTACCCATTGCCCGTTGCTTGATAAAAGGTAGATTGTTTCTTATCTTATATTAGAAAAATGGAATTTGCCAACGGATTCTACTCAGCTGATGGCTTTGACTGGATGCCAAGTGGTTTATCGATCCGAAACATCTCTTTGTTTGAGTCAAGGATTGGAGGAGCTCTTGCAAAATATACGAAGGAAAGTAAGTCAGCAAGGTTTTGTTATATTTTTTCCATATTTTGTGGATAGGGGTGGCCAGGAGCTGAGTTTGAATTTAGGAGTTTTTTGACTCAAATTCGAGTTCGAGTCTCATACTATTTGGTCTGGCTCAACTGAAAACCACCCCTATTTGTGGATTTGCTTTTATTACTATTAAATTTGCTTTTATATTAGCTAGAAAACCATAATTCTGGTTTTATAGGCAGTTTTTAAGTTTGACTGAAAACACCTCTTTAGATTGATAAATCCTCACCTTTTCTTTCTCTTGAAAAGCGTTTTACAACGCACGTGAGGATTAAGAATTTGGCATTTACCGTTTTCATCGATAATTTGAGTTGTTGGATAAATGATGTCTTGAATAAGTGGTTGTTGATCTCTATCTCCTCCGGCATTACTAATAATCACCGAATATACAGAGGAACCAAATCACCCTTCAAACAATTTTGGTTGAGTTTAGGGCTGTAGGATCGGACGTAATAAAATCCAATTCCGATGATTTGATTTGATTATGTAAAGCTTGCATCCGAATCCAAAATCCAATCCGTTTTAAAAGCCTTAAATTCGAATTCAAATTCTGATCGATTGGGATCGGATTTAGATTTAATCCAATTCCGCCTTTAACGGTCCTACATAATGAAAATAGTTCAGAGATATTTAAATAGACTTTTAAAACTTTATAGATTGTTCAGGATACTTTAAATAATTAACACAAAAATTGGATCATATGCTATGCGCATCATATGTGCTACCTGATTCGGACTGCATACGTAACACCCTTTAACATCAGTAACACTGTAACAGTGAATATAAAAAAAAGGGGTTATGTCTAATCCTACTTGCTCACGAAAGTATAATTTGCATCAGTTTATAATAAAATACTTTAATCAGAAGTGTAAAAGCACGAGGTTTTGGTCTAATTTGACATGTACAGGAATAGGATAGTTGCCTAAAATTTTGCCTTATAAAAATTGGGTTTCTGTTTCGTTTTTCCAATTCCACCTATGGATTTTAATATAATAAAATCAAAACGAACTACGGAACTAGAGGTAGAGAATAGATGGATGCATATTCATTGAAAACGACTGGATGGATGGGCTCACATTGTTTGTCCCTTCTCTATTATATTACATAAATATTTGGGTGAAGATCAAAGCCAGACATCGGTCCAGAATTCAGACGGTAAGACCAATGGCAGGGCGAGCTGCAGGCGTGCAGCCCTATGCACGTTAGTAATTCCACCTTTCTACATTGTCTATATTTATAACACCACCAAAATGAACCTGGATACCAATTATCTGTATGATATATGAAAACACTAGATGTTTGGCATTGCACTGTTTTTTATAAAAACGGTATTGGTATGTGGAGCAATTTTTTTAGAAAATGATACTTATTTTTTGTTTGAAACCGGTGTTAT